GCTAAGGCTTCCTTGTCGTGAATGGGGTAGTTTAGTTTTGCTCCGTGTAGCTTCTTACTGAGGTAGGCGATGGGCTGCAAACCGCGTCCGTGATCCTGCATCAGTACTGCTCCGACCGCTTGGTCACTAGAGTCTGCTTCCACCACGTAGTCCTTGTCTGGATCCGGCAAGATGAGTACTGGCGCTGTAGTCAGTGCTGTCTGTAGCTGCTCCATGGCTTGCTGGTGAGGGGTATCCCATTTGTAGGGCGTATCCTTTTTCAGTAGGTCGGTCAATGGCGCTGCTATCTTAGCGTACTGCGGCACGAACCTGTTGTAGTAGTTGGCGAAGCCTAGGAACTGCTACAAGTCCTTCACGTTCTCCGGTACTTTCCACTTTTTGATGGCTTCGATTTTCCGCGGGTCCACGTGTACGCCCTCGGCACTCACCATGTGCCCGAGAAACTGCACCTTCTTCAGGGCGAAGTCGCTCTTCGACAGCTTCACGTAGAACTTGTTTTTCCGCAGGATCTCGAACACCTTCCGTAGATGATCCACGGAAGGACCTCCAGGCTCCTCACGCGCAGGCTCAGCACCCCCAGGCTCCGTACCCTCAGGCCCCTCACGCCCAGTGCCCCCAGACTCAGCACCCCCACGCTGCAATTCCCCAAGCTCCGCACCCCCAGGGACAGCACCACCACCAGTAGGAATGGCGCAAGGAAGACGCCAAGGAATGGCGCGAGGGGAGAGCTTGTCCGCGGTGGTATCGCGAACAAAGGCACGAGCACCCCAGACCCGGAAACGCGACGCGTCGCCAACCTTCCCCGTCCACAGCAGTGTGGGCGAGGTCTCCGGCAAGGAGACACGGGGCCAAAGGTTGAGCTGATGCGCGGCGTACCGGACCGCAAACGGCGACAGAAAATGGGGGGCAGCCGCATGGATCATGGAAGTACGAGCGACCTCCATGACTAAGCCAATGCGGCGCTCAGCAACCCCATTTTGCTGCGGAGAGGCCGGAAGCGTGAAATTCTGGCGGATGCCGTGCTCCGCACAGAAGCCGGCCAAGAGGTCTGAGGAGAACTCACCACCTCTGTCAGAGTGCAGACGCAGGACAAGAAAGTCCGACTGGAACCGCTCGCGGAGCTGGAGACAAGTAGCGCGGATCCAGGGGATCAAAACATCAGGGACATCCCCCTTGCGCTGCAAGGGGAAGACCGTGGTGTAGCGCGTGTAGTCGTCGACAACCAGCAGGAAGTACCGCTCGTGGCCCTGTCCACGGACGCGGGCTGGGCCCCACACGTCCAGGTGGAGAGTCTGCAGTGGAGCCTCTGTGGGAGGGAACGAGGATTTGTGAGGAGCGGCGCGCTGCCGCCCCTCGACGCAAGGAATGCAGGGCGGCGCAGGCGAGGGAGGGAGGGCAGGCAGAGACCTGGGAAGACAGAAACCAGAAAGCGAGAGTGCATGCTACGAAGGCGAGGCAGGGAGGGGTGTCCCAGGCGGTGGTGCCACAGGAGGGTGTCGTGAGACAGCCGGCGACACTCACACTGGGTAGCTACCTGAGCAGACGCGTGCAGCTGGGGAGACAAAGGTGTGAAGCGGGACTCAGTGGTGAGGATGTACAGACTGGACCCTGGCGCACGGGTGAACGTGGCCAGGTGGCGGCCGGTCTGGGAGCACGTGCAGATCGCCACACGCTGTCGGCCAGGGGTGAAGGTGTCAACACCCGCATCCTGGAGGACAGTGTTGCTCACCAAGTTCGTAGAGAACGAGGGGAGGTGGAGACCAGACAGCTCACCAGACGGGACCGCCGGACACGGAAGCACAGTGGAAGACTGTGCAATCACTGGGCCCCTAGAGGGGTCAGCCAGTGAGACAGGAACAGGTGCATGAAGGGGAGTGACTGTGGTACTGTCGCGAAAGAAACAGCGGGAAGCACCAGAGTCAAGTGTAAAGGTGTGCAAGGCCTGTGCAGGCACAGTACCAAGGGAAGCAGACTCGCAAGCAGCTAGTGCAGCAGGGGCTATACCAGGATCCGGCGGCACACACAAGTAGCAGTCACCCTCAGCACTAACAGACAATGCATACATAGCAGCTAGAATAGCCTCATAGTCAAGATCAAAGATTGGTACATCACGCCTAAGCAAGTCTGCCCAGTTGGGGAACTCAGTAGCATCAGGAAACTTGGCGCGCCAGGCGTCGCTAAGTCGAGCGAAGCAGCGCTGCTCAGTGTGAAACCCTGTGCACTGGCGATTAGCGCGGGGACCTGTGCGGATGATATAGGGGCAGCGACCAGGACCCCCAGAAGCCCCACGCCCGGCATACCAGTAAAGAAGCTGCTGGGAAGTGGGGGTCTGGCGCTGACGCTGCTGCTGCTGCTGCTGCTGCTGCGGCTGCTGCTGGCCCTGACCACCACTGCCACCACCGCTCCCTCCTCCCCCACCGCCGCTGCTGCCCCCTCCACCGCCCCCAGTGCCTCCGCCGCCCCCACCACCACCTACACCCCCTCCACCCCCACGACCACCCCCACCACCTCCACCGCCCCCGCCGCCTGCACCACCGCCACCTCCACCGCCGGCCCCACCTGCCCTGCCACCCTTGCCGCCCCTGCCGTTGCGACGCTTCCCACTAGGAGCGGAAGCAGCCCCGACCTCCTCAGCACCAAGGTAGTCGTGAGCAGCAGCTGCGGAGGCGTAGGAGGGGGTGAGAGGGGAGGGGGAGCACCCCTCAAAGAGGAAAGGAGCGAGGAGTGCCACGAGCAGCACCTACAGCAAGGATGTTCTTCTCTGCTGCAAGGAGGTGCTTCTCGAAGTCGTCGACAGTGAGAGTGGGGGGGTCTAGCGCTAGGAAGTGGTCCCTGACCGAGCTAAGACTGTAAGGGAGGCGCGTAACGAGGAAATAGAGAGTGAAGTACATCGGAGGGGGGGGTTTGCGGCACAGAACTCGGCTGAGAGGGCGGCACGAAAGCGAGTGTCAGTAGCGCGGAGGTGAGAAATGAGGTCCTCAGCAGTGGTGAACGAGGAAAGGTCGGGGAACAGGTAGGGTAGCATGATTCGACCTATGGCTGCAGTGGCCGGGGAGGAGTAGCGCGCAACTACAGCGTCGTACAGCTTCTTAGCAGTTTTGTGCTGGCTGAAATGCGCGCGCTCAGTGATCGGCAGATGGTTCCTAATAGCTAGGCGTGCAGCAGCATCGCGAGTCTGCCACTGCGAACGTTCGAGAGCAGGAGCATCAGCAGCAGGAGCAATGGCAGTGCCAGACATGTAATCGAACAGTGAAACGCCCTCTTTGGCATCGGTCAGAAGGAACAGTTGCAGGTCGTCTAGCCACACAGTGAACTGTATGGGGTGACCGTCAGGCTCGAACGCGAGAACATTAGGCGTCGTCATAACAGCAGTAGGCAAAGGCAGCAGAAAGCAGGCAGGCAGTAGACACGAGGCAGTAGGCAGTAGACAGCAGGCTAAGACAGAGGCAGTAAGTAGTAGGCAGTACAGGCAACGTGCAGGGCAGTAGCTTGCTGCACCCGAGCTCCTAAGGTGGGGCTCTAGACAGTAGCAGGCCGCACAGTTCTAAGGCAACGGGCTCGGCAGGAGTGAGCCTCACAGGCAGGTACACGAGTAGGGCGCGCGCGGCTGCTGGCTGCGTGCGGCTAAGGGCCGCGCGTGGCTCTCTGCTGCGCGTGGCTACGTGCTGCGCGCGGCTCCTGGCTGCACGTGGCGACGGACAGCGCGCGCGTGGGCGGCGGGCTCTACGTCGCGCGCGGGAGGCGGGCTCTGCTTAGGCTGCGCGCAGGCGGCGTAAGGGGCGCGCGGGCTCTACGTGGGCTACGCGGGCGACGCGGACCGGCGCGCGGCTCTGCAGCAGTGGCGCGCGCTAAAAATCAGAGACGCGCGCGCTAGAAACCAAGGCGCGCGCGAGAAAAATAAGTGACGCGCGCTGCCGCCGAGGCGCGCGCGAGCAGTAGGCAAGGCAGGCAGTTAGGTGGGCCCGATTCGTAGGTCCTAGAGACCTCCTGCTCTAGTTACCATGTTAAGAACCTAAGGCAAGAATGAGTGAATTAGGTGAAGGCTAGGGTACAAGACTAGGGTATCGAGAAAGTTTGTGTACCCCCTAGTGCTAACCCCCATACAGCCTAGATAACCTAAACAAGCATATATATATATATAATTTGACATGGACTCGCCAATACGTGTAGTAGGGTATGGAGAATTAACCAGTACATTTACAATAGATGCATGACACCAACCTTCAAATTCACTTTTCGGATTTCAGGTCTAGAATGTGTCTTGCCGCATCCTTCCATAACGATGTTATGATTGTCCCCGTGCCGAGGTTTTGAAGTTGATATTTCTTGGGATGAGCCACCAACAGCAGCTTTTCACACCATGTTCTAAGGGTGCGTCAGATCCGCTACAATATAATTTGGCTGCAAATTTGTCGCCCTTTTGGTCGACAATATTTTTCGCCAAAGTAGACCGAATGGTCGAATGGTAAACCGACCACCATCCAGCCACATTTTGAAGGTGTTGCAATCTGACAGATTTGGTGGCCGATTTACAGGCCGGTTTGCAAAAGTGTCAGATTTGCAGGTCGCACAGTTGGTCGGATTGTGCGACGGAGTCGCATGTATTGTTACTGAAGTGACACAACCCCGAAATGTGGTCTTGTTCAACGGCGCTGAAAGCGCCGTGCGCGTCGTCCTTGTGACACGTTGAGTCGCTTGGGTATGTTGGCCAAGTCGCATAGGTACTGTAGCGCTGACGAGTCTCGATTCGTTTGCACGTCGGAAAGTTGTCGAATGCTAAACCGGCCATCAAATCGGCCATCAAATTTTTATCCGGTGGCCGGATTGTGCGAAATACCCTGCGAATGTCGTGAATGTGTAACCTTCTCTAGATCCGGCCGGCCGGATTTTTCCGACAACGGATCTGACGCACCCTAATCACCCGTCGCGTCACCGTTTGACAAGCCCCTTGCCATCTCATTCCGATCACCATCTCTCCGCGCTTGCCCGGCTGGTATCCAATGGCGCAGGCGGACGGCGGACGGCGGGAAGCGGGGGATGCTGGGGAAGCGGAGAAGCCGCGGGCGGGGGTGGACGTGGTGAATCCGAGCCTGGATGGACGAACCTCTGCCGAACCTGACGATCCCGCTTTTCGCGCTCTGTTTACGACGCACAAGGAGCATCTGACGTGGACTGACTCAGGCCGCTTGCGCTGCGCGCTGACTGGTCACGAGTTCCTTCCTACCCACGAGTCGCTTAAGCGACACGTGGCAAGCAGAATCTTCGCCAAAGCGGCGGCGTCGCTCGCGCTCCGGAAATTCGAGCCGCACGTCGTGCAGTCGCCGGATAATCCGTGAGATCGCACACTCCCTCTGATATTAGCTCACTCCTTCCGATAGTAGCACACGTGTTTCATTCATCAGGCGCCGGTTTATCAGGCTGCGTTCAACAAACGTCTGTGAGACAGAAGAACGGTTGTCCGTCACGCACGATTCAAGAGAAACCTCAAACCCTGTCCCCTGTTCTGTTCATCCCATCGCAGCAACAAGCTGCTGTGCACGTTGACCAACAAGCTTATACAGAAATCGGAGGACGCTGTATGGAAGCACATGATGGGCCACAAATTCCAAAAGCAACTCAGTGAGTGCTCCATCCTTCCTTCGCTCCTTTGCTTTCTTGCTCCATCATACCTTTTTATCTTCTTGGTGTCTTCATCTGCTCTTGCAAATTCGAGCTTCCGTTGCTCCCCACCTTCCGCCCTTCCGCCCCTTATCCCCCATATCCCCATTGTCCCCTTGCGGCCCCGCCCCCCCGTGTGGCGCGCGCAGCCAAGAAGGAGCAGGAGGCGGCAGCGCGGAGGGCGGCCAGAAGGGCAGAGCTGGCCGCAGCAAGCCAGCCTGTGACTGGGGGGACGGACGTGGGGGGGGGTGCTGAGGAAGGTCGGGGGGGAGAGGAAGGGGAGGAGGGGGAGGAGGTGGAAGAGGGGGAGGAGGTGGAAAAGGGGGAGGAGGTGGAGGAGGGGGAGGTGGTGGAGGAAGGGGAGGAATGGGAGGAGATAGATGAAGCGAGTGTGGAAAGGGAGATTACTGAAGAAAAAGCAGAGTGCAGTGAAGGGGAAACAGAGGACAGTGAGGAGGACAGTGAGGAGGAAGAGGGGGAGGAGGGGGAGGAAATGGAGGGGGAGGAGGGGGAGGGGGCGGCGGAAAGGGTGGAGGGTGAAGAAGAGGAAGATGGGGCAGAGTTTTGGATGCCTCCTGTAGGCGACAGGTGGGACGGGGATGATGGGGGTGATCGATGGGGCAGCAGAGAGGAGCGGAGGGAGGCGAAACGGAAACGGCGATCTGAAGAGGAGGAAGTGGGGGAAGATGAGGAAGAAGACTCAGAGGACGAGGAGGAAGAGGAGGGAGAGGGGGAGGAAGAGGATGATGGGGAGGGGGGGGAGGAGGAGGATGAGGATGCGGGGGATGAAGAGGAGGAGGAGGATGAGGATGAGGAAGATGAGGAAGAAGCATTGTTTTGGATGCCTCCTCCAGGTGACAGGTGGGATGGGGATGACGGGGGTGATCGATGGGGCAGCCGGGAGGAGCGGAGGGAGGCGAAGCGGAGGCTCAGTCAAAAGCAAGAGGAGCAGGGGGAGGGGAGTGAGGAGGGTGAGGAGGACGGAGAGGAGGAAGGAGAGGAGGGGGAGGAGCAGGAAACAGCTTCACAGGCCACTAGAGCAGCAGAAAGCAATAGGCGTAAGCGTAGAAAAAAGGGGAGGGGCCGTTGTTGAGCAGGGGGGAAGTGGGAATAGGCAAGAAACAAGGAGCGTCAGGTCAGATGCATCACTAGTACGCTGCTTTGGCAGTATGTCAGCTCAGCAACAACCTGGCCTGAATGCTGTTCAGCCCCTGAGATTACACTGTACTTGATTCACGCTGGTGCTTTGGCGAAGTTGTTACGGTATTGCAATTGAGCTCGATATGGCTTTTTTAATAAATCAACTAAACGAGCGAGGTGCAAAAATCATGCACCCTGGTTTCCTAAAAGAGAGCTCTACGCAATTGTATGTCTACACTGTATCCTAATGTATCCAGGGCTTTTAGCTCCAAGAACACCCCTCCTGCATCTTGTTCACAATAATCAGCTACAAGGGAATCTCTATTCGCAGAATTCTGTCAGGTGCTGTCGAGCTTCAGAGGCCACAGGATTGGGTTCTTCTCAGGGGAGCAAACACGTCTCCCCAGTCCACACCACCATTCACGGGAGCAACACGGCTGGTGCAGCCGTACCCCTTAAAAGCCAACTCATGTTGTGCACTTGGCAGGTTGCCGCTGTACTCATTATTAGCCGACTCAGTCATCTCCCCACCACCTCATTCCACCTTGGTATGCACCAACACAGGCTGCACCACCTGCTGCTGCTCCGGCTGCTTCGCCTCCAATTCAGCTGCGATTCTTTTGCTGCTCACAGCACCGCTGCTAACACCAGCAACGGCGGGCGGCGAGAGCAGCGCGTGCAGTCTCCGCAGTGCCCAGTTGCCGCCCAGCACCAGCACAGGCAGCAGATTGCCCACAAAGTTCAATCCTCGGTACACTGTGATCGTGTCCTCTGCTGTCAAAACCTGTGAACAATAGAGAATAACAAGAGGAGGGACAGGGGAAACGCAAGCAACGTGAGCCTCTTGGTGAAACCTTTCAGAGGAAGAATTGGCTCTGACACCAGTATGCTTGCAGTTAACTAATGGTCTTAAACACAGTGTAGTACAACGAATCCCATGGAGACTCAAGCGAATCACGAAAGGGTAGTGTATCACAATGAAGCCCACGGCGACTCAAGCGAATCAAGTAACAGTCTTACAATGAAGCCCATGGCAATATAGTTGAGGCCGGCGAACGAGTAGAGGCAGTGCAACGCCTGCACCAAGGTCGCCCACAGCCACTGCGACTCCGGGATGGTGCGCTGATAGCGGTAGATCACTGCCGTGCCAGAGGGGGCAATAGGGGAGAGGGATGGGGATGGGGAAGGATGGGAGAGGAAGGGAGTGAGCGACGATGGGAGAGAATGAGAGAGGGTCGGAGATGGAAGATTGGTGGCATGGTGGCATGCTGGCATGATGCCATAGGGGCATGATGGCATGATGACATGATGGCATGATGACATGATGGCATGATGACATGATGGCATGATGTCATGATGGCATGATGACATGATGGCATGATGACATGATGGCATGATGACATGATGGCATATGGCATGATGACATGATGGCATGATGACATGATGGCATGATGACATGATGGCATGATGTCATGATGGCATGATGACATGATGGCATGATGACATGATGGCATGATGACATGATGGCATGATGACATGATGGCATGATGACATGATGGCATGATGACATGATGGCATTGTGGAATTGTGGCATGGTGGCAATGATGGCAACGATGGCAATGACGACAACATACCTCGCGACCCCATGATGAGGAACGCGCCGCTGAACGCGAACATGAAGTCACCAATGTAGATGCCCTGGTGGTGGCACCATGGACACATGGGGAGGGATGCGGGAGAGGGAATAGAGGACATGAGAATGAGGCGCGGATGGGGGGAAGGAGGGAGGCGAGAATCGGAGGGGGTAGTGGTGGTGGTGGTTCTGGATGGTGCAATGGAGCATGATGAAAGGGGGGAATGTGAAGGCGGCGGGGGAGAGGTGGATTGAAGCGAAATTGGAAGGGAAGGGAGTAACGCAGAGGGGATCTCAGCAAGCAATTTCATGCCACCCCTCTATATGCCACGTGGCACTCACATGCCAGATGGCGCTGACGCCGACGGTGAGCAGTAGCGACAGCACGCCCGGCTTCTGCCCCGCTGGGATCGTGCGCTCGTAGATGTCTGCGCGCGGGGGGGACGAGATGGGGTGGGGTGGGGGAAGGGGCGGGGATGGCGGAGAAGGATGAGTGAGAGTAGGTGGATGAGGCGAGGGGACGGATACAATGAGCAGAGAGAGCGAGGATTTAGAGCGAGAGAGAGGGAGATGCGGGAGGTGCGACGCGGGGAAGGTGGGCAAGGTAACTAATTCACCGGCTCATTCATGGTCTTAGCACTCACATGTTCGCAGCCACAGCCCCACGGAGACGTTCCAGTTCTTGGCGTACGCGTTAAAAGCCTTCGCCAGCTCCACCCCCGCGATGTTGATGTTCTTCGCACGCTCCCACGACGCCACCAACCGCGGCTCTGCGACGTCTGCGACCTTCGCCTGCTCCGTTACCACCCCGTTCATCTTCGCGAGAGCGATGTCATCCTTGGTCTCCTCGCACGCGGTAAGGAAGCCGTTTGTAGCGGGGACAACGAGATCTTTGCTGGAGAAAACTTTTTTCGAGCCGATTTCAGGAGCTTCATTTTCGTCGTTTGCACTGGTTACCACTCCATTCTTTCGCAGAGGGCTCTTCGCAGCGAGCTTCACGATTTTCGCCGCATTCCCCGCCGCACTATCACCCAACACCCCCTGAGGGGCCTTTTTAGGAACCACAGTCTTCCTCAAAATCGATTTTCCTTGTTGCCGACCGGTCGCGGTAATCACGGCGGAATCTACGGCGGAAGTCTCGCTGCTCTTACTTCTAACCGGCTCTTGCGTCGAAGCGCCTGCGCTTTTGGCGGGAACCCACCCGCTGAACCCTAATCCCGACGCGATCATGCTCGCCTCGGCAACCGTCCAAACGTAGTAGATCTTGCATCGGACGGCGTACGTTGAGATGATGACGTGGCCCCAGCGGTGGAGGTACGGAATCGCGTAGAATCGCTTCGGGTCGGTGACCAGAGGTAAGTTGAGCTGCGGCTTCAGGACGAGGTGAATAAAGCCGGCCGCGGTCGCCCATGCGAGTGCGACGAGCAACGGGATCGCGAAGGGTGCCTTGCGAGCGTCGTGCGACCACACCTGCGACGGAGGAGGAGAAGAGAGGAGAGGAGAGGACGACGGAGATGAAGGCAAGGAAGGTACTAGAAGGCAAAGAGGGACCCAAGAACGGTGAAGCGACGAAGAGTAGCGTCCTGAGTGGGAGGAGGAAGCGGAAGGTGAGGGCGATGATGGGAGCGGAAGAGGAAGAGGAAGAGGAAGAGGAAGGAAGAGAGTTAGAAGCGAGTGCAGATACGGCCGGAAATCGCGGATCGTCTTACCCCTCGGTTTTCGGCCCAGTCGAGGTACGGTCTGAGCTCGAAGAACGGGCCCGTGAGATGTAACCCGCCGCAGAAGATGTAACCCATGTACTGTAACGCGGACGGCAGCTCCTTGAGATGGCGATGCGTGCCGCGCTGCGGCGTCGGGAGGTCCTTGTTCACGAGGTACTCGCCGTCTTGGTAGTCGAACGCCGATGACGTCAGCTTCAACGTCACCATCATGAGCGTCCCGGCGAAATCGATCCCTTGGTCCTTGCGGGCTTTGCCGCTCGCATAAATAATGTGACTGTAAGGGCGAAGGGGGGGGGGAAGGTGGGACCCGGGTGGGGAGGGGAGAGCGGGCGGAATTATAGACATATGTAGAGGGAGCAAGCTCCTATTTTCTCAACATTATCTAGAGACATCAAATCAGAGACATTGAGCGAGCGGCGCGACTCACCACGCGAGGAGGTACGCGAAGGTCCCGACGAGCGTGATCATGCCGCATCGCCGGCGATGCAGCGACATGGCAGTGTACGTGAAGGCGACGAGCACGGCGTAGTGGCCCCAGATGGTCGGTCCGAACGCGTACAGCGCGAGCAAGAGGCCCGTGAGCGCCGCGCACACGTGGCGGTATGTGGGCGACGCGATGCCGCGGAGGAGGAAGCAGCAGGGGATGGAGAGAAGCGGCGATACTAGCGAGATGAGTGTAGTCGGGGTGATTCCTATTTGCGCGCCCAGGTCCACTGCGCGGTCCATCAGGGCTGCTGCCATGGCGGGTGTGGAATCCGTGACGCGCAAGTCGAGTTTACGAGTGAGCAAAAGTGCTATATCGTGGAAAAGTCCGTTCTTGCAGGACCAAGAACGACAATCTTCGTGCGCGATCCCTGGAACCGAGAGGACGGGAACTAGTTTGTTAGTAGCTAGTTAGTGCCGTCCTGTAACCAGTGTGCCGATAACGGGATAGGATTCCTACGAATGCCTCAACTATCAATGTCAATTAGTCGGCTAATGGGTACGCTAAAGCAGCGAGAGAGCTGCCTAACTTCCCCTGCCTGGAAGTGTGAAACGAACTGAGAAAGAACGCTGGAAAGACCGCAAGCACATAAAGCTGGGAGGAGTGGGGCGAACAGGCATCGAGGCGACGCGGAAGCAGAGGGATGAGGGAGGGAAATATGTAGCGGGAAAAGCGGGAGAATGTTAGGTTAGTGGCAGCAAGACCAAGTGGATGAGGGGGGTGGAGGGGCGACAGGTGGATGGAATGGGCGAGCGACGACGCAGAGTGTGGCAGTGCAGGCTCGGGCAGCGTACGAAACTCATGCGATTGGTGGTTGGTACCCCTTGCCCAAACAAGGTCTCCTGCGACGCGCTGCGACTAGTTGTGCTTGAATCAATTGCGGGCAGGGATCTGGTTCGCGGAGGCAAACCTGAACCAGCGACCCAGTCGCAGGCGGTAAAGCTGGTTCGGAACGGGGCGCCGATAGGTCCCGCCGAAATCCGGCGCGCAAGCCCGCGGTGCGGACTTCCAGCTGCTTTGCCCTAAGGGCAGACAGCCTGCTAGTTCGAGTGTGTGTGCTCGAGCCTACAGTATCCGCCCATAAAATCAGGCTGCCCAACATCTGACGAAAAACCGCTTCCAGGTTAGGAGGCGATGCCTGCCAGACCTCAGGGCCAGACCTGCCGAACCTGATTCGGCTTCGGCTTCTGTCCCGAAAAAAATGTGCCGTGGCGCCAAACACACTGCTCCGCCACAAGTCGTCTTCGATAATCAGTCATAGGGATGTTCAACATTACATCAAAACAAACACTCGCACTCTTGTATAACAGAAGTGGGTGTTACGCTAGATGCTGTGAAGTGCCCAGCTGGTGTGAAGCAGAACCACGGCAGTGCTGGCACACTACAGCACAGCTGTACATGTGGAAGGGAGTCACCTCGCACCATCCTGACGTGTACCGATCTCACCAACGCGGCCTGCTCCATTCACAACAAGAAACATAAGGCCAGCACGCCCCAAGAACAACCATAGCCCCCTAGTTCACCAATCAGCGCACAGGGCCTTGCGTCTTCCACCTCGTCAGCGCCACGCATGGAGCACGCCGAATCGCATCGAACATTCCAGCCAGCACATCAGCACATGCTTCGGCTGCTTCCTGGTGAATGCGTTCTTGCTCGTGCAAAGCTGAACCGCTCCGACTGCAAGGAGAAAGATGCTCTCTCATATTCGCATCCCATCTTGTTTTTTTATCACACCAGAATCTCTCAATCGAATTTCACTAGATATTCCAGCCGGTGAACAACTCAGGACGCGACCACCTAACTCGTATTTCTACTTGAAGTCTCGCAGCTAGTGCTCAATATTACCTAGGTTCAAGCGGTGGTGGTATCTATTAGAAGAGAAGCAGATTGCTTTCACGGGACCAAAGTAGAGGTCTTAGTACTCACCACAACATGGAGTACCCACCTCGCAAGATAGCGATAGCCATCGATTTGAGCGACGAAAGTGCTCACGCCGTACGATGGGCTGTGCAGAATTATCTGCGCCCAGTGGACCATGTAAGAACCCGCTACGCGTTTGGAAAATTCTGAATCTGAGTTCGATTTTGCCTCGCCACCACACTCTTGAACTCGAAGTTCGCTAAAGAGCGAATAGCGTAGCTGTCATCGCTGCTCTTTAGAGCTCGCATTGTCCTCTTTCCACAAGGTCGTGCTCTTCCATTTTTTGTTGCCTCTTTTACCCGAATGCTCTTCTCGCGTCATTTGTGGTTTCAATTCCTATCGTTTGGCAATATCCCTGTGCGTCTCGCCAGGTGATCATCCTGCACGTGCGTCCCACGAGCCTGCTGTACGGCGCGGACTGGGGCGCGTGGGAGGCGACGGACGCGGCGAAGGCGGCGGACCGCGAGATTAAGGAGCGCGCGGAGGAGGAGTTCGACGCGCTCACGCTGGCCAAGGCGCGCGAGTTGGCGGAGCCGCTGAAGTTGGCGGGAATTCCGTTCCGCGTGCACATCGTAAAGGACCACGACATGAAGGAACGCATTTGCCTTGAGGTGCGTATCCCGCTGAAGGCGGCGGGTATTACGTTCTACGCTTCAGTAATCAGTCGAGGAGGGATGTTTGTTTCGAGTGTGAACTACACCAGCGTCGCGCGGAGCAGTAGTGCGCGGCGAGCAGTAGATGGGTGGAAGCAACACGAGAGGGTGAGACTGACTTGCGGAAATGGCTTCAGGAAGCGTGGAATGGAACATAGTTTCGTGCTCCCAATGTGATGAAGAAGCGGATGTGGAATACAAGAGGCAGTTCTATGGTAAGAGAGTAAGCCAAGCTCGTATGAGCATCTCCGGATGATTCGCAAAAAGCAACTTCTTACATGCATACACGTACTGGCACATGCAATAAGAATCGCTTCAGACTCTCACCAGTTGCATTTTTACGGTCATCTTGATTCTCCTCCTCCTCAAGCTCTCCCGTATCTCTCGTGTCCAGGTGTCCGTTTGTTGCGATGTCTAGCCTGGTTAAACAAACAGGTAGAGCATTTGATACATCTGTTTGACCTGCGTCTTCCCGTCGTGTCGGATCCCTCTATCAAGTATAACAGAAAGCCGAGAGTGCTTAGACCATTGGCAGCAGTGACCTTTTGGAGCAACACAGTCAATTTGTGATTCTGAATGGTTCTTGCCTTCTTTCTCTCTTTGCGTCTGCCAGGTAGAGCGTTTGGGTGTGAGCGCGTGCATCATGGGCAGCCGAGGCTTTGGAGCGCACGGCCGAGCGAGGAAGTCGCGATTGGGCAGCGTCAGCGACTACTGTGTGCACCACTGTGAGCCATTTGTGACCTGTTCAGTGTTGCACATGACGACATTGTGCATATGGTTTTGTCTACCACGGTTTTGTCTACCACTGCAACCCTTTTTCTGTTCGTCTTTACTCGTTTTGTTTTGAGGGCACAACGCATCATCCATTTGTACTTTGTGTTGTACCGTCTCCGCTGTTACTTGCCTATGCTACGGCATTTTCTGACAGGCATTGGCTGTGCGGTGAACGCTTTTGACTTCATGGCAGGTGACTGTCCGGTGGTGGTCGTGAGGATGCATGAGGAGAAACCGTTTATCCACCCACCCTTGACTGCTCTGGCTTCTTAATCGGCATGGAGAAGGTAGTGGGTATTGTACATGATTCAGACCTCCGAAGGGAGGCTTGTACATATGCTAGACAAGTAGTAAGGAGGTCTTTGCTAGGCAATTCCAGGATATTGTTGTACGACATGGTAGTACTGGTACTACTGCGTGGCTGTGGTACTGATAATGCGAATTACTCCTTTCGTGCTTACCGTAGAAGAGGTGGTGCTGTTGGTGTAACAGGGTTTTTGGTCATTTTGGGGTCACGTGGACGAGGGGGTCGATGAGAGAGCGCCTATGCATATCTTACTGACCACTATAGGCCCACATATCTTACTGTTTTTTAAGCAGGGAACGTGTTAGCAGTGGAGAAAATATATTATACCCGGGTGTTCTTGATAAGACCTTACTTTACTCTGTCCAAGGTTTTAGAAAGAATATACAGTATGATAGGACAAGTGAATTCGGCGAGAAAGCACAACAATTGACAACTTCCCCAAGCTATTCCCAGTAATTATGCGAAGCATTGATTGGATTCAAAGCACTTCTTCTGCAGTATACATCGGTGGCAGCAATCCTTACCAATTGTACTGATTGAATCCCAAATTGGACCCTGAATACTGCGTTCAGTTACAGTCATAAGCTGTGTACCAGTTTCTTGCAATATCCAGAGTTGTTTTTAACGAGGGAATACTCAACGTCAGGCTTTCAGGTCCGGAGGTTTCGCCCTAGCTGCTGGCTGCGAGCAAAAAAGCCTTCATTCAGAAAAACCCACAATTAGCTTCTTCCTCTCGCACGCTTGATTGCCGATTGGCACGGCACGTTAGTGCGAACTTGCCTACCGAGCGGATAGCTTATTTCCTGTCGTCTGCGCTTAGCGTAACGATTTTTTTGCTGCACGTCTTGGCGACGCTGGCTGACTGGCTGCGAGCTTTTTGATCATGACAATGGCCACGGTGGTTCGCCTCCCGTCTGCCAGCCCTGTGAGCTTCAGGAATCCGATATCAGTGCCTTAAATAAGTTTCCGGTGTATTGATGTCATGTATTATGCCCTTGACCCGGCCTACATTCGTCTTTATCTCATCGCTCTCTGCTCGTCGTTTCTCGCCCACACGTCGTTCGCGCTTCGCAGTTCGCGGCAGCGCATTGCGCGGTTCACCGTCGCCGTCGTGTTCGGATCGCGATGGACAATGCGTCCATCGGGGGCCTGCGAGGCGTCTCGACTCCTGTACGTCGCGTCGCGTCCCTCACACAAGTTGCGGTCACCACACAGAAATTACTGGACAATTCTGATAACAAGGACGACTGCATGAACGTGGCAACGGACGCGACTAGACCGAATGTGGAACAGAGAGGGATTGGCAAATGTGGTTACAGCCATGACTATGTCAATACAGCTGTAGATGTGACCAGGCAAATGTAGCACACGTGCATGCATACTCAAGCTCCAGATGCGCGGATCCTTGCATTTGTTCTTCAAGCAGGCGTCAGTTTAATTAGCCGTTCCTCGCATTCTGGATGTCTCAATATCTGTCATTTTCCTTTGCCTTGCTTTCAACCGACCTCCATGATCGCATTTCATCAACCCCCCCATGCATTTCTCGGACATCCATGTCACTCCCACTTCCTGTTTCCAATCCTCAATTCCCAACTTCCAAATCCCATTCGTCTATCTCTGACCCCTGGCATGTGACGACGCCTTCTCAGTATGTGACGCCATCTGACCTACCACGTCCTCTGCCCATCACCGTTGCCAAAGCCACCACCGCTCTGCACCGTGCCGAACCTGTCTCCACACCTGAGGTACAACCAGTGTCAGGCACAATTCACAACCGCTGCAAAAGCAGCATCTGAATTTCACTGAAGGCTCACAGTTAACGAGCAGCACCCATTGTGGCATCTAAATCCCAGACTCCCTTAGCATTACAATTGCATGTCCACAATTTAGCCAGCATGGTTTTTCATAATTACTGCCGTGTCTACCACACGGATGTCATGGTATGACGCATGGATGGCATGGTACACGCATGGATGGCATGGTACATGCATGGATGGCATGGTACACGCACAACTGGCATGGTGTGGCTGATGGGTGGCAGGTGGAGGCGCTGCTGGACAGCATTAAGTGGGACGACAAGGGGCTCGTGGTGGCCATCGCCCAGCATGCTGACACTGGCGCCATCCTCATGCAGGTGGGTCATACAGGTGGGCAGGACCTCATGCAGGTGGGCAGGACCTCATGCAGGTGGGTTTAACACTTGATACAGCAGAGAGACATTATCTTGCAGGTGAAACATTCTCACGCAGGTGAGACATTCTCATGCGGGTGAAACATTTGCATGCAGGAAAAGTGCATCTGGTGTGTTTCTCGGTGCACTGTTCACCAGACTCAAACCAGCGCTAGCCACTATGCCGTTCATCCTGAATTCGACCAATTACGGCGTCCAGGGGTGCTTGCATCTCACGAGATTCATCCCCTTGCTTCCACGTCATCCCTGCAGGGGTTTGCGAACCGCAACGCGGTGTCGGCCACGCTGGCATCGGACCGTGCCACGTTCTTCAGCCGGTCACGGAAGTGCTTGTGGACCAAGGGCGAGACCTCGGGGCACTTCATCAATGTGCTTGACATGTTCATTGACTGCGACAGGGACACGGTGAGAGCTGGAAGAGCCGAGGACACGGTGAGTAGAAGAACAGCTGACTTCTGAGTTGACTCAAAGGTTGAAACGTCAGGGCACTTAATCCATGTGCTAAGAAATGTTCATTGACTGCGACAGGGACACGGTGAGTGCTGGAAGAGGTGAGCACACGGTTAGTAGAAGAAGAGCTAGTTTTTGAGACCTCAAAAGGTTGAGACGCCAGGGCACTTCATTCATGTGCTCGACATGTTCATTGACTGCTATAGGGACACGGTGAGTGCTGGAAGATACCTCAACTGAACTCAAGGGATGACCACGCGTATAACACTCACGAAACTGGATCACCGTACTCAAAAAGAGAAGAAGCCAACCACAACGCGCTGGACGCGTCTATCGATTGCGATGATGCACTCCAATTAAAGCGCAGAGCTCAGGATCAGGATGAGCTCATATTCAGTGCCAATCATCGAGGTTGTTGCTTCCGCCGTTCAGTCAGTTTTACCTTTTCCTCATGTCTCCTTGTTCTCCAGTGGACCAATATCCCTGTGTAATTCCTGTCGTGATTGTTGCAGATCATCTACCTTGGTATCCCTGATGGGCCCACTTGCCATACAGGCACTAACACATGCTTTTTCACGAAGTTGGACCTGTCCAGTGATTTAGTAGCTAAGAACAAGTCTGCTTCTAGTGAGGATGTTTCTTGCGCCCAGAGCACGCTCTTCCAGCTAGAGGAAGTCATTGCGTCTCGTAGACGGCAGATGGAGCAGGAACAGCAGCAGCAAGAGCAGCAGAAACCAGGAGAAGAACGAGCGAAGCCGTCGTGGACTGCACGCTTGCTTTCAAATCACTCACTTCTTTGCTCCAAAATCAGGTATGTCTCCTTTCGTTTCGTGTTATGCTTTTCACTGTAAGCGAAATATGTTGTTGACATTGTAGCTGGTTTCTAACGAGACTATTTGTTGCTAGGGAGGAGGCAGATGAGTTGTGCCAGACCTTGGAAGGGAATGAGGCGGGAGAAAGAGCTGCTTCCGAGATGGCAGACGTTCTTTACCATTCTATGGTTCTGCTTGCTGTCAAGGTATGTGAAACTTTTGAAGTATCGATTCTTGAATCAAAGCTTCAACCTCATACCACAAATGTGGACTGCCATTTCAGGGTGTCAAGATGGAAGATGTTGCCTCTCAGCTACGCAGAAGATTTTCCATGTCCGGAATCGACGAGAAAGAAAGTAGGAAATCAAAGAGCAACCATTGATGGTGTGTATGGATATGCTAGTACCATATAATATGATATGAATTTATAAGGATGGTACTACGTTCAAACACAATTGTATCGTGCTTATTGGTGTACCTGTGCTGTCCGTCACGCTGACGTCTTTCTATCTGTCGATTCCACGCACGCCGGACTGGTCATTTGATATGATATGTAGATGGGATTGCGTGGACAAACTGAAGCGCCCGTGGCCTTCGTCGATCGTATATCTTTCACGATGCGATATCCTCGAGATTTGTTATTAGTTGATATCTTGTGAAATCAACGTTCAAGCACCGCAGAAGGCGTGCAATCAACACTGTGTACGTTGTTTCATCCCGCTTTTTCGCGGCATGTGCATGTATGCTTCTGCTGCTGTTGCTGCTTCTTTGATCAATGTCAACTTGGCTTCATTATTTCATTGTGCCGCCGCATTTGACGAATTTACCCTATGTTCGAACACTCAATGCTTAGTGGATTGTATCTTGGCGTGTCTCGTCAAGTGAGAGCGTGTCCGAAGTGAAGCGTCGAATGGATGTCGATGGATGTCGGTAAATGTCAACCCTTGGATCGAGAGTTCCAACCGTCAGGATTTACCGACATCGGATGTCAAAGGATGTCGACTTCACTTCGGACCCGCCCTTAGGGCATCTTAGGGAGAATGAACGCCTCGTGTTGATGTACTGACCTTGTAAGAAGATGAAGGGTAAGTAGTTTGCGCAATGATACTAAATTGCCAGTCGGATCTGACGATGTCAGTAGCACCGACGCTGCCTTTCACGCTGTGACCAACATCCAATCGAAGATCCCTTCTTGGGAACTTGCCTTGTCAAATCTTCGTCGCTTTGTGATGGCTTCATCGGCGTGCTTCAACTGCGTCAACATAAACTACCTGCTGAATCTGTCGTTTTCCCCGTTTGCAACGAATATCCAATCTGCAGTTTGGCATTGTGCCAGTCAACCAATCCAGGCGTGCTGTACGCTCTGGAGCAGAAGGTCAGGAAAGAAGGGGCATCACTCTTGGCCAAATCTTTTCGCCCAATCTCCACCGTGTCTCCCACTCGCTCCCCTCAAGATTTCCCTTCCGCAATGTCCTCCGCGGCTCCTAGCAATCCCTTCCCCGACTGTGCCCTCACTCCGCGCCAATCCCCCATTGCCTGCCTGTCCCCATCACAAAGCAAGCTGGCAGCCAGGTTAGCTGGCAGGCAGGGATGCTGCTTGGCGGAGTTGTGGCCGCCTTGATTTTCCCCGTTCATCCACCTGTCATCGATTCCACCGACTGCACGCCTGACTCGAATCATACAGCTTGCGGGAATGTGCTGTTTGGATCCAACGGTCCGCGCATGAGTCACCTTCACCCTCACTCCTTCCGCTGCCCCCACTCGCCCGCCCGCCCGCCCGCGTGGCATCATCCGTGCACTGTTTTTGAGTATGACTCCCCCAAACGGAAGCGGTCCAACAATCGAGACTGCAGCACCGCACAGAATCACGGAAAGTCCTAGTTTCCTCCAGCCACTCCTTGTTCGGCCTAGTTAGTCTTCATTCAGCCTCTTCAGTCTAGATTGCTGCTGCTTCTTTACCACCTATCAGTTCTTCTGTGCATGCATCAGTTACCTGTGCTTCATCGTCATTTTGGGAAATGTGTGGAGCGTCACATACCTCTTTCTCCTTTCCTGTCAGTAATCCGTCGTTCCTGCTACCTGATCTGCGTCCGTCCAAATCCATTGGCTCCTCCTTTCTCGTAGACGCGTCGATGCAATCAAGCGATGAGGATCACGCGCTTCCGTTATCTCTCTCAACCATTACTCCTCCATCGTCCAATGCTCCCCTTAACGACATCCCCTCATCACAGCAGCGGCACATAGATCGGAGGAGCTTCCAGGAAGTCGATTTCTTTCGACCCCGCGCAGAACCTTCCGCTGTTAGACCCTCCCCGGCATCGGTCGCTGCAACCGAGTCGGCTCCCGCCTTCGCACCCGCTACTATCGCCGCGGCACCGGGTTCTTTGTCTCGTCATGGGGCCCATCGAAGTGCTGAGGCAACGACACACCCGTGTGTCGACTACTCAGTCGTATCCGTAACACCCCATCAGCGCCTCCCCTCGGAGCAGCAGAAACCGCCGTCGGCGGGTCGATCCCCGTTATTGGCGTCTTCGTTAATGGCGTCAGTTGCCGAGTGGTCCAACGTGATGATGCCGCCGCCCGCAACAGCAGGGACTGCCAAGAGCCTTCTGCCAGGCTCCTCGCTCGCCAACGATCTGCACAGACCCGTTACCGCCCTTCGCCGACCGACGCTTAACCCGTTCAGCGACAAGCCGCGGGGAGACGCGGCACCGGCGCCGGAAGCTGGCGACGGGTCGGCGAAAAGGCCTCGATGCGAGAGCCCGTCGCATCAGCTGCTACCCAGCCTGAGCAGCAGCACGGCCTGCACCGCCAATATCCGCGATAGTAGCCACCCCGCGATTACACGGTCTGGCCTATCCAACCCGGCGCCACCCGTCCCAAGCAAGTTCTCCTCGGCGAATCTCGTGCAGGATATTCAGAAATCGGCGCGCGGAGACCTGTCGCTGGACCTTCCCCCGCCGTGCTGCTCCTGGATGTGCATCTACTTCTCCGTGCCGTGCCGCAAGAAGCGCCGCCTCGCGCCGTCCTCTACCACCAGCGGAAGGACCAACAGCGTCAGCGCGGCTGTTAGCGGAAGCATGATCAGCGGCGGTGGTGACAGCGGCGTAATCAGGAGGCGGAGGGCGGCTCGCCCTGCCGCACTTCCAGCTTCAAGCGGTACCAGCCTTTCCGGCGCGGCGGGAGCTCCGCGTAACCCGCCGCGGCAGCCGGTGGGCAGGGGGGGCATGAAGGAGGAGCGAGAGGTATGGGCAAGGGAGGACCAATCCAAGGCCAGCGGTAGTAAAGGCGGTGCGCATCTGGCGAGATGTGAGAGTGCGAACGGCGGGGATTCGTCGGTGCACGGAGGCTTAAATACCGTGCTGACGTCAGCGTTTGCAGCAGCACGAGGCGGTCCGTCAGCAGCACGAGAAGACGGCATGTTTACACCGGCTTCCGAGCTGGGAGTGGGGAGCCAGCCAGCAGGCGCGTCGGCTTCCGAGCTGCTGGCGTCGTACGCGGCGTCGGGCTGCGCGTCGCCTGCTCTCCGCGCGTTCCTCGCACTCTCTCCGAACCTGTCGGCCCTGCTCAATCCGTCCGCGCTCCCGGCTGCTGATGGTGCGTCCACGCTGCTGAGGCGTCTTCAGAGTGACTCGGCTGCTGCCGCCGTGGCTGCTGCCACTGCTGCTCGCATGCACCTGCTGCAGCAAACCTCTGCCGCGCAGCAGCAGCAGCAACAACAGCATCAACAGGTGGTGTTACAAGAGCAGCAACAACAGCAGCAGCAACATGTACTAGTACAGCATCAGCATCAGCAGCAGATGGTGCAGCAGCAACCACATCCACAAGTGGTGTTACAAGAGCAGCAACAACAGCAGCATCAACAACAGGTACTACACCAACAGCAACAGCATCAAATCCAACAGCAACAGCATCAAATCCAACAGCAACAGCATCAAATCCAACAGCAACAGCATCAGCACCACCAGCAGCTGATTGAATCAAAAGCAGACAACAGTTCTCAACCACAACCACGGCAGAAAATGCTGCATGACAGTTCAGCATCTCACCGTACCTCGATGAGCGACAACACAAACCATGACAGAGCAGCACCGGCCTTAGCATTTCCCTCCTTAGCAATAGCATCAGCACCAGCACCATCCTTAGCAGCAGCAGCAGCAGCACCTACAACTGCCATGGACAGCACCCTTCCCCAGCAGCCGTCCTTTCCCCATAACACGCCTTGGCATGCGCCGGCTCCCCTCAGTGGTGGCGGCTGTGGCCATTCCGCTGCGGATCCCAGCAGCGATCGAGTGTCGGGTTTTATCGCAGCGGAGTCAGGCCGGGATGCTTGGAAGACCAAGGCTCTTGACCTCTCCCTGCGGTTGTGACACATCAGTTTGGGGATTTGGCTGGGAATTAGGGTAGGTTGGCTGAGTAAATGAACTCATTAGGATTTTTCATGGCTGACCATGTTATTATTGTGTTGATTGTACAGTCTTGACACATTGAGCCTCTACCTATTCCTCACTTACAGGATAAAGACCACAGCATTTGAACTTTATTTAGCTTTTATGGTAAATGTTGTTTGCTCTTCAAGATCAGCTGTTCATATTTTCGTACGAGTTGCACCATAATGGGCTACTACGCACAGGACCGCTTACCACTCTCTCCCACCCTTACAAACCGGACTTCGCATCTGGCTGGCTGCAACTGACACACGTCATGTCTGAACGTCACCTTCCTGAATGTGGAAACATTTTGTCACCTCCATGCCTTGTATCTCAACTGTCAGTGTGTATGTAATTTATGTGCGAGCCGCCTCCGCGTGACGTCTTAGCGTCGGGATTGGACGCTCGCACGTAGCGAATTCAATCCCACCAATCGAACGTCGCTCATCTCTTCCATGTCGGCCTCAGCTGCAGCAACAAATGCGTTTTTAGTCTCTCAATTCCGGGTGACCGAGCGACCACCGTGCACTTCCAGTTGCAATGGAGTAATGCAGGGTCCGCCCTCCAGCAGCAGCACCCGCAGCAGCACCCGCAGCAGCGGTCGGAGCGATGCGCGGAACAGTAGCGTCGGCGGAAGAAGGGGGGTGGCGAAAGGCTCATCGCAGTGGAGTGGCCGGCGGAGGGAGCTGTGCGCTGCTGTTGGCGGATCAGGGGGAAGTGGAGGGGAGCGGGGGGAGGAGGCGATAGCATGGACAAAGTCCGTCTTTTGATTGGTGGGATCGTAGGACGCTTTGTCGGTTTCAAGTTAGTAACCTTTGTCAGTTTGTTTGTTTGTTTGTTTGTTTTTTATGTAATGCTAGTGCATTAGCATTGGAGGAAGGTGTATCTGGATTGACATTAATTCAGAAATTTCTTTCATGGCTGCAGGTATGGCGACAAGGGATGACAAGAAGCGAGGATTTGGCCCGCCTCCTCCTAAGGACAAGGCAGCTGGCTCCGGATTCGTAAATCTGACAGGTAAGTGATATGACTTACTGACACATGCTAATCTCAAAGGTGACTTAGTGCTGGCAAGTCACAATGGCATCGTCAATCTCACAGATGGCTGATGATTCGTGTCCGTTTGACGTTTGACATGTGACGTAGTGTCATTTTGCAATTTCCCTCCGCCTAAAGCTTCTCCAAAATTCCCCAATGCTGATCCTCAGGTAGAGAGGACCTGATGGCTGGTCGCAGGGAATTCGACCTTGCCTTTTCTTCCTCCACGCCCCCCGAAGCCTTGCTGGCTCAGGCTCGTGCCCGAGCCAAGGCGCGGACCATTGCTCAATCTCAGGCTCGGAAAGGCGAAGGGTTGAGTGGTGGGGAGGAATCAGACGGTGATGCGGAGGGGAGCTGGCAAGTCGACAATGAAATTAGAGGGGCTGATCTAGAAAGGAACGGCAGCACTGGCTCTGTGTCTGCAAGGGCAGGGAGTGGAGTGGATGGAAAAGCGGCTGAGCATACCACTACTGGATTTCCACTTACCTTTACTGGCCTTCCCTTGGATCTGACGCCAAGTCAAGCAGTGATATCAGCTGGCATGCTCGCGGTAACGGCACTAGCTGTGGGGAAGGGATCAAGTGACATCTTGTCTGATGAAGTCATTTGGCTACTGCGGGTGAGTTCCAACCAGTAGAACGTCATGCTTCTTGCAACTTTTACCATCTCGGGCGTTTCAAGAGTACGTGTTATTCCCTTGTATCTCAGTTGTCAGCTCCCAGAAATCAGGCACCTTGGCCGATTTAGTCTGTCTCCACTCTTCCTCTGCTGCTCTCTGTCGCTATGTCCTCTCATCTGCAACCCACTGTCCCAGGTGTGGATGGCCATCGCTTGGACAACTCACTGCTCTCTTGGTGCATTTGCTGCCTTCATATGCCATCAATCAGGTGCGAGCGGCTGCTTGCATTGCTTTTTTGTCTCATAAAAAAAAAAATCATTACTCATTGCCTATCCTCACAACATTCTTTTTGTTGTAACAGGCAACCAGCTGTCTGCATCATCTGCAAGCAAGTGGTTTTTCAAGATATCGCTAGCTGGGTTTATAGCCTTCTCTGAGTTTTGGAACGTTTGGAGACCACGTGGAGGCCTGTAGTCACTCCTAGTGAACACCAGAGTCTGAACAGATCTGTGCTGCCACATCAGCGGGAGCCCTCGAGTCAAGCAGATGGAACAGCAGACACAGAGGGAGAGAATTCTTGTGCCAAGACAAAGAGTATGCTCGTGCTAAAAGCAGCGGATGCTCTTGGTGCCACGTCATGCTACTCAACTTCACAACCACCTTGGCTGTGCATGTGAGGACCATGGCAGAACTGTGTATGTACAAAGGCTGGCATTCTTTTCCGCCAATGGCTTTGGTGCTGGAAGTTGGGACTGACAAGCAGGAGAGTGAATGCTGTAGTGGTTGACAGGCTGACAAGGTAGGCACCACTGTTGATAAAATAGACTCAGGTGAGTAATGACAAGATGGTGGTAGTGCTTAAATATTACGGGTTTTTTCATTGACATGTAAATACCTGATAGTATTCAAACATTTCAACAGTCGTAAATGCGAATAGATCATTGAATTTTTGGGGAGACGAAGAAGCACCGGTGAGTAATTGAACTGGATGAAACCAGCCCCTATGTTCTCATATTGTAACTAAAGTGTGCTGCCATCATAGAGTTGAGTTGAGAGTTCTAGCTTACTACGCACAAGTTCGTTGTAACGGATGACGCCTAATTCATGGTTTGGGAAGTGGACGCTGGTGTTTGGCGACTGGCTTCCCCAACCAAACTCAGTAGAAAAGATAGGGGAAATCGCGACTGATGTCCCCAGCATTCAGTGGAAAGGTGACGAATTGGACTAATTGACCGCTTGGACTCTCAGTGCCCTTGGAATGGAATGGTCCCAGCTATCGCAAAAGCAACTCGGGGAGTCTATCCTGTTCCTGCTCGCAGCCCCACTCTCTCAGCGACATTTAGCCTAAACCTCACCTTGGGGTTCCAGCCCCCATGACTCCGGATCACCCACCTAAGGTGTGCGGGGCGGGGTTGTGAAATAGGCGGAGGTTTGTTGTGTTTCGAAAACCAATTTCGATATGCCTCCTGGCGCCTGGTGGAGCCAGCTCGAGATGGCTGAGGTTTTCCCGTACCGGAGGTCTGGTTCTCCAAACCTACAACAGCCCTCCAAGCAGCGTTGAGCCGAGAGGCTGACGTGCCATTCATCCTACATGGCTGCTGTACAGCCTGGCTCAGGCGTGCGTGTGGCGGTTGCCAGCCCACATCAACCATTTCACCCACGATACGCGGTCGGAAACCGCCAAGTGTGTTTTCCCGCCTTCCGCCGCTTGGGGACCTCAGAACCCTCCAGAAATATTGGACACAGGCCCTTCGCCGGGCGAATGAGCTGAGCAACCCTCGCCAAACATTCGGAAAGCGAGCCGAAAGTGGCGATCTTCTTGAGGCTGTTCAGCCAATCATAGCGCTGTTATCTCGCTCTCCGTCATCCTTCCCCATCCAAATCCAACGGAGGAAAAGGCTAGTGCTACGTCAGCAACGTCGACGGTGACGTTCAGGATAAGGCCTTATCGCACAAACGAACAAGAACTGACGGTATAGATTTGTTGATGACGCAAGTGTGCGGGAGACGGTGATGTGATCACGCGTGCGAGTGCGTCACTTTCGACGCAAGTGACTGGACAGAAACGTGTCATTTTTCCACTGTTGAGAGGCCATGTTGCGTTGCGGTGCTGTCGCCTCCTGTGAACAGAGGGCAGCAACAGCAGCACTCCTCCCCCTCTCCCCTCCAATTCTCCTCGCTGCGCGTCTCGTGGCATCCAAGCAGATCCGAGTTCGACCAGGCCTGCCTGCCAGAACTGTGAGCAAAGGGGCCCTTGGTGGGATGGAGGTGGTGGTGTTTCTCTAGTTGGTCCTTCGGTTCTGTAATCACGTCCTCTTCTCGCGCGAGTTCCTCTCATCGCTATCTACACTCGTGTGAGGGGAGCTGGGTTTGGCCCCTACCCCACCCCAGCCAAGTTACCGCCTTGGCGGCGCTTGTTGGTGGTTGCTTTGGGCAGAACCAGACCGGAGGCCTGTTCATGAACGTGTAGCTGATCATTAGTCGCTCTCTTGATCATTCATGCTTGATTGCTTCCCGCACCCGCTGCTGTTCCGCTCCGCACCTGTCGTTGTGCGACGTAGTGTAACTGGGTTTGGTCAGCCGTCTGCTGGCATTGGCCTCCGCAAAACCCTCACCCTCGAATGGCTAATTAACCAAGGGAAACCATAACTTTTAATTCCTCACACGGGTCGCATTGCCTGATCAACACTAGTAACGCTGCTTGTGCGATCTAGATCTGAAAGCAGAAAATGAGTTGCAACGGATGTAGGGTCCTGCGGAAGGGATGCAGCGAGAGCTGCGTGTTGCGCCATTGCCTGGGGGGAATCGAGGGCGCGGAGGCGCAGGGTCATGCCACGCTGTTCCTCGCCAAGTTCTTCGGCCGCGCGGGTCTCATGGGCTTCGTCACGGCCGTTGACGAGGGTCAACGCCCAGGTACCCAATTGGCCCATAGTTTCCCGCGTTTGTGCCGAGAAGCAGCGAATTCCGTCGCTGCGATTGGGTTCAGTCCAGCGACGTGGCCTCCGTCTCCCCTGCTCGTGCTCTCCATTTCGCACCGCCTCTAAATTGCTCGTGTTGAAATCCTCCAGATTCCAAACTGGCCACGCTGCATTTTCTTAATTGCGGTCGGATATCACACCAGGTCTCATCTTTACCCAGCGTCTCGCGTTCTCGTTCAGTATCATCACGAAACCCTCAATTGTGCCTGTCATTCCCCCATTCCCCCATTCCCCATCTCCGCCTCTCCGCCTTTCCGCCCGGCAGCGCTATTCCAGTCGTTGCTGTTCGAGGCGTGCGGGCGAAC